ATTCTTGATCTAATGGACTTACACAGAGAATTGAACCCCACAACCGAACCTCACACATTCTTTTCGAGCACCGCCGTTTATAAAAGTTGGCCATAGGATGGCTCTTAAGGAATACTGAAAAATAGAAATCATCAAAGTATGTGGGCAGATCGCAATGCAATTAAGCTAAAAGTCCAGAACAGAAAGATACCTAGAAAACCCCCACATGTGTGGGAATTAGGACACACACAGACGGGAGGCAATGAGGGCGCAGGTGGAAGGGGGCCTTAGCCAAGAGGAAAGCCCATCGTTCTGACCCCCGGAGCCTGTCTGGGCCATGCCTATGGCCTCCCACTGCAATTAGAGATTAAGACCAAGCTGGGGAATGATCCTGAGAACTGTTCAAAAAGGGTTCCAAAGGGTGAGTTCTAGGCCTTGTGAGCAACTCTATGGTATGACGTGGAGGTTGGACTCTTTGTAGTTCTCGTTTTTTGCTGAAAGGGACACTCATTCTCTCCACATCACAGACCAATCACTGAGCAGCAGTGAGCAAGGTTAAGCTCCTCCACAAACTAAGTGCTGCTCAAGCCCAAGTCTAGATGTTGGTCCCACAAGCGCCCAGCGCCTGACATTATTTTGTGAGAACAGATCCTGACAAAGCCACTTGCAGAAGAGCCATCAGCCCCATCTCCACTAGGAAATGAGAGAATCGGGTGCGGTCCACAGTGCTCAGGGCCACCATTTTGGAGACAAGAGCCCCAATCCCAGTGCTGGCCGAGATGGGCAGGCAGTAAAGGGCCTGTCGGAAGCACGAGAGAAGCTTCTTTTACACCAAACGTTGTTCTTCCTGTAGACCTCGGCCATTCCAGGCCACAGACTGCTGGAGACACTGTCTCCTTCTTGTCTTCTTCAAACAAAATCTTATCAGGGACAACAGATAAAGTTGGAGGCAGTGAGGGCCCTGGAACCCCACCCTCTTGGTCACCCCACCCCAACCACCACCATAGAGCCTGGCCACAGACATTTTAGCCCAGACTTCGTAAAAAAGTATGTGTAACCAAATACCTGTCTCAGCTATTAAAAAAAAAAAAAAAAAAAGTCTTCAGAAAGCAAGCTCCCGCAGAACGGCTAGCTTTGAGCAAGGCAGCTTCCTGGTACACCCTCCAAAGTAAACCTGATACCAAACGAATAAGAGGGCTCCCGAGGGAGGAAACCGGCCACATGGAGTTAGTGGCTGGAGACCTATTGGAAACAGCTAATGCTGGTGACAGTTGTAAACTGGTTACCACAGCCCTTTATTTGGGAATTAACGAGTTATCAGTGGCCAGTTAAGCCCATCCTATTTTAGGATAACAAAGTCTTTCCCATCTCTTGATAAGAGAATGTTTGTCCTGCAAAAGGCTAATCTAAGATAGTCCCAAATCAAATGACAATGACAGAACAGGGAAGGAGGGACAAACATTACCCTCCCCCTGCATTTACAGCTCCCCAGAAAAGCTTTCTCTGAGATACTCTGACAGGATGCTGCAGCTCAGCCTGCGAATGCTTCTAAATCCACGCTACAACCACCCCCTGGCGCCCTTTAAAATCTCTGCAGGTCCCAAGGGCTGGTTGTTTACGTGCTCTGCTCACATTAAACCTATTCAAATGCACCCTACAGCCCCCACTAAATCATTTCTATTTAAACCATTGGAAATGAATTGTAAACTTTGCTTTTGAAATAATTATTTCTTTTGCCCAGTTTTTTGTTGTTTTTTGATGTTGCCATTCATATTTTGGATCTGAGAACGTTTTTTCAGATCTCAAACATTTTTAAGTCCCTGGAAAATTGTGCAGATTCCATGCACTGCTTTTACCTCCGGCCTTTTGGGTAAATCAGTGATGCCCTGTGAAGTTCACTGCGGGGCTTACTGTGCAGAAAACATTGAGAACTGTGTTCGCTCTATTAAAACAATGTCCTGTCTGCAGAGATTGACAAGAAAAATTCCTCTCTGGCGTTTGAATCAAAAGCAGTTGTGCTTCTCCTTCTGTTTTTGTTTTGCCAGCCCATGACTCACATATGTGATCAGGTTGCCCTCTTCACACTGGCTACTAGAAAGCTTAGAAAACACGAATGGTCAAAAAAATAATTATAGAAGAGAAAACATGCATGGCAGTTTGTGCTCTAAATTTACTCATGGGCCCATCTTATATTTCCTACCCTAAATTTCTCTTTGCCTCATTTCTTCACATTTATTTTAAATTTATTTTTAAAGCATCTTTTTTTTTTTTTTACAGATGGGGTCTTGCTCTGTCACCCAGGATGGAGTACAATAGCCCAATCATAGCTTACTGTAACCTTGAACTCCTGGGCTCAAGTGATCTTCCCACCCCAGCCTCCCAAGTAGCTGGGACTACAGGCATGTGACACTACACCACACTCAGCTAATTTTTTTTTTTTTTTTTTTTTAGAGAAGGGGTCTCACTATTGGGGTTGCCCAGGCTAGTCTGGGACTCCTGGCCTCAAGCGACGCTTATGCTTCAGCCTCCCAAAGTGCTGGGATTACAGGCATGAGCCACTAAGCCCAAATTATTTAGCTTAATTCATTGTAGATAAGCCTCCTTAAACCCTTTGTGGACCAAGGCAGGATATAAATAAATCAATACATAAATAGCATTATTTTTTCCTAAAATTGCTTTTCTCCTTTTTCTCAGATATTTCCTATGTATGGTGACCCTTGTGTTAAAATAGTGGCCAACACTTATGAGTACATGACTCATGAGTACCTGTCTGCACGGAGCAAAGTGGCTTTACACGGATTATTTCAGGTCTTCACAACCCCCGAGATAAAAGCTATAGTCCTGTTCAGACAAGGAAACTGAGGCGTGGACATACTGAGTAACTTGCCCAGAGCTACCCAGCTCCTAAGAGGCAGGGCTAGAATTCAGTCCCAAGCTGGCCCCACGGCCACTCGCTCACCCCACTGGAAACTGCCTTCATCCAGGCTGCCTCTTCCCGGCTTCCCTTCAGTCGATTTGGTTTCCTAAATGCCTCTCGACTCTCTCCCCCTCCTCAGCATCCCCAGTCTCAGTTATTACGTCAAGGCCCTTATGACCTCTGGCCGGACTTTTGCAGTAGCTTCTCACATGATCTCCCTGAATCCGGGCCTGTGATCCTCACATCTAACCTCCTTGCTTCAGAAATGCAAATGTGTCGCCTTATAGATGGCACCCCGGTCATATGACAAAGCCCAGTTTCCTTTGTCTGGCATTTAGGACAACTTCCTGAAATCTGTTCAAATCTGTTCTTAGCCCAACCGGACACACTGTGACCCCACCCCAAGCCCCAGGACAGTAAGTCACTTATCACTCCCTAGCAGAGGCCACGCGTTCATGCCTCCGAGGCCCTGCACAGACAGTTTCTGGCTCCCGTGCCTGGTGAACTGTGCTTCTTTTAAGTGTCAGGTCAAAACACCACCTTCCTGGTGAAATGCTCTGTGAATCCCCTAGTCCTCGGCCCTCTTCCATGATTTCCCCATTCTTTGCAGACATCTGCTCACCACACGCATTTCACTGTATTGTCATTATTTGTCCATCTCCCTCCCTCCACCTTGACCTCTTTGAGGACAAGAGCTGTGTGGTCTTACTCACCTCCTGCCAAGGGCCTGGCATGTGGCAGCCACTTGGGAACTGTTTAATGTTCAACCAGTGGTAGGACTAAACCGGACCTGTGTCCGCTGCCTGACGATCGCACCTTCCTAACGCACTTCCACCCCATGCTCCAATCCAGGAACACAGAGCCACTACCAACTCATGCCTTTACGAAAATTAGAAGAAAGTGTCTCCCCTGCAGTAGGACCTCCTCACCCTGGGCTCACGCATGGCTTCCGTGTCCTCCCACAGAGCCGATTCTATCTCTCCCTCTTACCAGGCCCGGGCGTGCACAGGAACACAATGCACACGTCTGAGCACGGCAGGCCTGCACGCACACGATCATCTCACCTCTGCACGTGCCGTCCCCTTCACTTGCAAAGCCCATCGACTCCCACCTGCGCACATGGACAGCACCCCACCCAAATCCGCTTCCTCTGTGCATCCTTCCCCGGGCCTCGCAGGCAGATTTAATCACTCCCGCTTACACCATGGAAGGTACCCCTATCTGAGTCTTGCCCTCGTGCATCAAATTCCTCTCTTCACTGCCTGGTTGCACTGCTGCACCGGGCTCTCCTCAAGGGTGGGGGCCACGTCTCAGTCCTCTCGGTCTCGAATGCGGAGGATAGTGCCTCTCATATACATGGTGGGTAGTCAGCAAGTGTCTGGGCTGCAGGCACAGCTCCAACCTAGGTACTGCGCAGCTCAAAATCTTTCCAGAACCTTCCCTTTGTTTCAACACCCCTCCTCCCCCACCAGGCACACAGAAGCTGTTCTCCCCCCACCACTCCCTCCCTCCTCGGCTCACCTATAGTCACAGGTGTGACCTCTGAGTACCACGGTAACCTCTGGGCCTTTGCTCATCTGTCCCTTCCTTCTGCCTGCAATGCCCTCTTCCTGCCTCCGCCCGTGAACATTCTACCCATCCTTCAAGGCAAGTCAAACATCGTTCCCCTCATGAGGTCTCCCATCAGCAGATGTGGCCTCCTGCTCTGACACCCGAAGGACTTTGTCCCGCCCGAGTCATCCCGCCCGAGTCATTCCTGAAATGCTGCTCTGGGTCGTAATGGCACGTGATTATAATGAGAGCATTTTGAGGGCGGGGATTCGCAGACTTCAGCGTAGTGTGGCGCACACAGTAGGTGCTCGGGGACATTAGACTGGATGCAACAGGGAACCCACGCCACGCCTGCAGAGCCAGCAAGACACCTCCTCTCCTCTCCTCTCCTCTCCTCTCCTCTCCTCTCCTCTTTTTTCTCAACCAGGACAAAATCTGTGCTCTGGAGAGAAGGGCACAAGTCGCCCCTCCCCTCCTCCCCTCAGCCAACAGCCTGGCTTCCCTTCTAGAAAGGTGAGAAGGTGTGACAGGTGAAGTTTCCTTTGCTCCACCCCCTTCTCCCCCAAACACAGACAGGAGTTCACCTCTGGCAGAGCTGTGCTCCAGCTCCTGCAGGACAGGAGCGGGCTCTGCACAGCCCCGAGTGGCACGGGGCACCCGGCACTCCTCCCTCGCCAGCATGCAGCGCCTCACCTCTGCCCGCCGGGCCGCCCTGCTCCTCGGCCTGGCCTGCGCCTCCGCCGTCCACTGGGCCTGCTGGGCAGGTACAGTCCTGAGCTTTATTCTCAGCCCTGCTGGGCAGGGGGAGGGAGGGAGGAGGAGATGGGAGGGCAGGAAGGGGAGGGCGAGGATTCCTCTACCAGGGTTGGTCCTGCACAAAGGAAAGAGGAAACTTTCTCATCTGGAGGATTAGGCAGGGGTGGGGGTGGGGGGGTCTTGGGTTTGCTAAGACGGAGATCAAATACTCAACTGCTCAGCTAGGACAGGGGCAGCCACCTCTGTCGGCCTTTCCCACAAAGAAAGAGGAAAAAGCAGTTCGCCGGGGTCTCACCCATCAGGGAGGGGACCACATCAGCCTAAAACGGCATCTTTAATCTGCTGTGTCTCAAAGCTCCTCCTCGGCTCCCCTGGGCTTTGGTGATCTGCAGCCCCCCTGCACATTTGTGTCGAACCTTCCTTCACCTAAAGCCCTCCGTCCCTCCCTACCCTGCATCCCCACTGCGACTTTCACGAAACCCGACCACCACGAACTTCACTGTCTGCCGCACCACTGCCTCCCTGGCACTGGAAATGGCGGGTTACCCCGTTTTCTCAGGGGGGCTGGGGGGTTGGTTTGCAGCCCCTGTCTTGCTCTGCCAGTCTGGGCTCTGCACCTCATGGCAGAGGGACCTCGGTTACAATCTCGTGCCCCTGGCTGTGATCGTGCCCTCAGCTCCCTCAGCACACTGTGTGCCCTGCTCCCTGACAGACTCGTCCCCTCAAAATCAGCCTCCCCCCGCAGACGTCTGCATCTGCCGCTCCCATCCTCAGTGTGCCCTGTAGCCACTGCCAGGTGGCCCGGTGGCGGCGAGGGTCAGAGCACGACAAGCTCTTGGGCTACCCGACTCCAGCTCCCACAGCTTCCCAGCTCTGCGACCTTGAGCAAGGTACTCACCTGTCCGGGCCCAGTTCCTCATTTACCACACGGAGGTCACCAGCGTGCTTATTTAAAGGGTTGCTGTAAAGAGCAAATGACATGATTGCATGTAAAGAATTTAAAAATAACACGTGGTAAACACACAAAGGATGTCAACAATTATGGTTAGCACATTCGTTTATTTCCCAACTTCACCCCTCCCCAAATAATTTCTTTCTGTTTATCCTCACAGTGCCTTGCTCATGACACGGTTCAAAAAAAAAAATTGACAAATTTAACTGCACTGAATTGCTGGGGCCCCCCCAGCAGCCTGCCCTTTAGGTGATGCCACATGGGTGCCCCTGGCTGGCTGCGCTTGCAGGGGAGGAGGGTGATGCTTAAATTTGTTGATCCCCACCTGTGCTATTCCATTTGAACCACGCTAACTTGCCGATACTGGGCAGCTTTTGACCTATACAAACGGCAATTCCATACAGTCTAACTGAACACCTGCCGTCAGTTACCTAGGTTTTTCTCTACTTGCTTTGGAGGAGGACCACTTCCATCCGTAGAGGTGAGATGAAAGTCAGAGCCAAGGAAGTTATTTGAGTCATAAGGAAAATTAAAAGGGTGAGGAGTTAATTTCTCCAAAACAAATCAAGACCAACCTCGAAGCCATTTCGTTGTAAATAATTTACAGTAGCAGATTGCATCAAGGTAATTGCTATTCTTTAAGCAGGGGACATTGGAGCGGCTTGGGGGTTGGGTGGCATGACATTAGTCTGAGGGGCAATTTCATGATTTTAGCTAAACAATAGTTTTCTTCCAAACTCTCTGCCATGTGACAACAGGTACCTCTCAAGGACATGCTGACCTACAGGCAGTGGGGCCTTCAGAGTCTTCAAATCTTTTTTTTTTTTCTTTTTGTATTCCTAAAGAAGCACTTTGAACAGCAACATAATTTCCAGAAAGGTTCTTCAAAATCCACGTCTTGGCTTCGAACTACCTAGAGCAGCCTCAGCACTGTCTACTAGACCTCTCGGTGGGGGAGGGAATGTCCCATATCTGCGACGTGTTTCCAACGTGGCAGCCAGTAGCCACTGGCGATTTGAACACTTGAAATGTGGCTAATTTTAATAAATTGTAATAAATAAATAAAATATATTCAATAAATAATGTGACCAATTTTAATAAATGTAAATAGCCACAAGTGGCTACTGCTTGCTGTACCGGGCAGTGTGGACGTAGGGCATCTCTCTTATTGGCAGTTACAGGAGGGGGCGCCGGGAATGGCGTTTCTTCCTCAGATCTTTAACCCAATCCCTCCCCCACTAACTGATAGAACCTTCGGAATTCCTGTTAGATTTACTTGCAATCTGTCTGCTCCTCACTTATGAATCAATTCTAAGCACTGCACATTCTGGCAATTTCTGGACTTGCTTGTCTGAAGTTTAATTTTTTTTTTTTTTTGACAACCATTTGCATCGGTAACAATCTCATAACCATAACAAATAAAGACTCCAGGTCAGATTTCAATGTTTATTTGTTCAAGTTTTTAAGAGAATTGAAGATGGTTACGAAAAGACATTCCGGATATTTCCGTGATTGTTTTTAATATACACAGGGAAGCTACTTTATAGCTATGTTTAATCTGCAGAGAAAGCAACTGAGATGGTGTTTAAAAGCTATAGAGAGCAGGCTTGAAGGGCAATGAGAAATGAAGATAAAGTGTCTCTGAATGAGAGTGGAGTGATAGGAAAGAGTGTACGAGTTTGTTCAGGCTGTCATAACAAATACCACAAACAGGGTGGCTTAAACAACTTAAACCACAGTTCTGGATGTTGGAAGTCCAAGATCAGGGTGTCAGCAGTTGGATTTCTCCTGAGCACACACCCTCCTTGGGTTGCAGATGGCACCTTCTCCATGTGCCCTCACCTGGCCTTTCCTCTGTGCACATGCATTACCACTAATGTCTCTTCCTCTTTTTCTTTTCTTTTTTCTTTTTTTTTTTTTTTATGAGATAGGGTATATCTCTATCACCCAGGCTGGAGTGTAGTGGAGTCATTATAGCTCACTGCAACCTCAAACTCCTGGGCTCAAGTGATCCTCCTGCCTCTGACTCCCAAGTAGCTGGGTCTACAGGCATATGCCACCACGCCTGGATAATTTTTTTATTTTTTGTAGAAATGGGGTCTCACTCTTGCTCAGGCTGGTCTCAAACTCCTGGGCTCAAGCAATCCTCTGGTCCTTGGCCTCCCAAAGTGCTAGGATTACAGGCATGAGCCACCACACCCAGCCTTCTTCCTCTTCTTATAAGGACACCAATCATTGGATTAGGCACCCCCTCAAATGACCTCATTTAACATGAATGACCTCTTAAAAGGCCCCATCTCCACATACAGTCACATTGGAGTTGGGACTCCAACATATGAATTTGGGTGGCAGGGGAACACAATGCAGTCCGTGACAGGGACTGAACTTATACTCTGTTGCAAAGCCTCATTGTACCTATCCTGGGACTTCCAAAACACTTTCGTAATACTCACTACTGATGTACAAAAAACGTCTCAAACTCCATGCCTGGGAATGGCTTTTCCTACTGCCTGAGACTATTCCCTGTCTTTTCTTCCAGAAGCCAGCAGCAGCAACAGCTCAGCCTCGACCATCCACCACCGCCCAGACGCTGGGACCCTGGAGGAGTGCCCCAGTAAGTAAGCGTCTCCTGCCCACGCCCCAGCCCCAGAGCTGCCCTGGATCTGGGAGGGACACAGGCCTCCTTGCTGTCCATCGACTGGTGTCAGGTGGCCGAGCGCCTGCTTGGCCTTCCTGTGCACTGGTGTGGTTTGCCCCAGAACTACTTGCAGAGCAGGTCTAAGAGACTGTCTTGGCTTTGATCCCCATCTAGGCTCACAGTGTTGACACAGGTGGCTTTAATGACCCATCCCCAGGTCAGTAGCCAACGTGTCCTGGGTTCAAATGCTTGTAGAAGTTTTGAGGTGGAAAGGCCATAAAAATCATCTAGTCCAACTTGTGCAGGAGCTTGGTTTGGGACCCTTTTTATATGTCTGTTCATCCTCTTCTTGAACGTTTCCAGTGGCGAGGAGCCCAGAAATTTACAGAGCAGCCACTGGTATGGTATGCACGTCCCATGAACGGACAGCTTTGCTTCGTCCTGTTGCTCCCTTTATCTTGCCCTCATTGAATGACCCAATGTGTTAGCTTCTGGCCACTTACAAAGAAGGGGAAGAGGCAATGATATGCAGAGAGTAAGAATATGGTTTTGGAGCTTTGCAGACTTGGGTTTGATTTCTGCTTCTGCCATCTCGTGACGCTAGGCAAGTTACAGCCTTGGTTTCAATAAAAACTGTAGCTGTCACTTAGTGACGAATAAGCTAACGTGTGACAGCCGAGCACGGGGCGGGGACGGGGTGAGTGCTCTTCAGTCTCAGCCACCACGCTGTTGTCCTTGTCCCTACTCACGGTGCGGCGCGTCCTGTCTCTCCCTGCCCCGGCAGACGTGGACTTCTGCCCGCTGGCAGCCCGGTGCTGCCACGCCGGTGTGGATGAGCACGGCTGGATCGCGGCGGCGGTCGGCTGGAGCCTCTGGTTTCTCACCCTCATCCTGCTCTGTGTGGACAAACTGATGAAGCTAACTCCAGAGGAGCCCAAGGACCTGCCAGCGTGAGGCGGGGACTCCTGGGCCAGGAATGGCGATCGCCACCAACGCGTGCATGGCGGGCAGGGGACAGGTGCTAACTCGGCTTCTACCATCTCAATGTCACTTTCACCTTTAAGCTGCAGTTACTTTTAAAAGGGAAGGGAGAAGGGAAGGGAGGTACAAATTAGGCAAGGCCAGGGCTGCCTTCACACCTGACTCCCGAGGCACTTGGGTCTTCTCTGCTAAACCCCTTTCTCAAGCGAGCGTCCCCCCCCCCCCCGGGAAGTGCTCCTGGTCTCCCCAGAGCTTTCTCCTGGTCTCCCCAGAGCTTTCTGCCAGGCGCCAACCGGGGGGATCGCACGGGAAACAGAAGGCTTCGTCTTGCAGTCAACGCATTCAAACCTGAGCTCAAAACCTTCTCACCCAAAACAGATCATTGACTTCTGTCCCTTACCTCAGTCAAAGGCATAACTGTCCGCACCCTCTGTCACCCCACATCCGGCCTCCTCCAGCTCCCTCCTGTCCTGCCCCTTCCCTAGCCAGCACCCCAGTTCTGTCCCTCACTCCCTTCCCCCCCCACCCCACCCCCCCGCAGTCATTGACCTTTGGATCTCCCTCCCCCACTTGTCACTCCCCAAGGGCAGCTGCAGAGTGGGGGCTGTCACCCTCTGCTGACACCCCTGCTACTCCTGGAGATTCCAGCTTCTCAGGCTGTAGTTCGGGTCTCTGTGCGAGTCCAGCTGTGTCTGCGGCACCTCCCAGAGTGTGTGTGTGCGCTCGGACTGCCAACTCCTCCTCCCGCATCTCCGGCCACTTCCTCTGCTGGGACAGCTGCCCTCCTGCTGCCCCCTGAGAGCACAGGCCCTTCCTGCAGGGTCTGCGGGGCCTTGCCTGCTCGCTTGTGGGCGACCTGGAGCTGGTGCTCTTAGGGCCCCACTGCTCTGCTCTGCTCTGCCCCGAAGTGCAGCCGCTGTGACAGTCGAGTGTCCTTCCTCACACCCCTGGGGCAAAGTAAGCTATTCATCTTTGTCCAGTGAGTGAATGGCTGAATGAACGGGCCCCTGCCCTGGACGAGTGATGACCGTCACTTGCATTAGGAGCCTCCATGTTTTTCCAGATGGTTCCAATCACCCACCTCTGAAGAAGCCAGTGGCTTGGTCACTGCTCTCTCAGCAAATTACAGCCATTGCCACTCAGCAAGGAGAGTGGGTGTCACACACAGTCGGCTCTTGCAGTGGAGGGGGCGGGTGGGTTTATCAGAAGGAAGAAATGACAAAATGACTCATTACGAAACAATTTCTACCCTCTGTGAGAAAACATGTATTTAGATTGGATAAACTCTAAATAGTCAAAATACAAAAAAGAAAAATGAGAGACCTCCGAAATAGGAAGAGAAATTTTCTCAAGGAGGCAAATGACTCAAGGCTGCTCAGTTGCTCTTTCAGAAAATCCAAGTAAACTTCCCGACAAGGGGAACTGAAGGGATGACCTGATTCCTCTTGTGGTCCTCCAAAAAGCCAAGTAATTTCTGCATCTCAGATGTTTGATCAGTGTACTGGGTTGGATTTACTGTCCCTAAGAGTTAAATGATCATGTGTACAGAAGTATCACCGTCACGCCCGGCATGTTCTGTGGAAATACACATCAGTATGTGTTCCACTTTTTTGTAAATTCGCGGGAAGAGTTCCCACAATGTGTGATGATTTCTTTCCTGAGCGATGAAAGGATTTGTTAAGGAGCACACTTTAATTTAATGTCTGCAGACATTTTTCAAATAAAACGGTGTCTGCCATAGGGGTACAAGTACTACCTTTAAGAAAAGGGAAATTGAGATTTATTTCTGGCCAATGTGAACAGAAATAAGTCGTTTGATCTCACTGGGCACCAATTTTCTGAGCAGAAAATGTAAGACTGGGACCGAATCAGTGGTTTCCAGCTCAGTCGTGAGAGCTTGTGGGGCTATTTGAATGCCCTCCTGGAAGGGGGCGGGCATGAGGTCTATTGTCCTTTCTCGACCTGAGCAGCTTGGCTCCTGTCTCCCGCATCAGACCTCGTGGTGAGGTCACACCTGCTGCTCTAGGGAGTGAAGGGTGGGCGGCAGCGGCTGGTGTCTGGGATCCCCTACCGTCTGCGGAGACCCGGAGATTCTCAGACCACCTCGAAGCGAGTGTGTGCGGTCTCTGCCATCTCGCATTGCAATGGAAGCATTTTGCAAATTGCTCTTCTTTCATCAGCACGAGAGAGAAGACAGACCAAATCCAAACAGCCACTCTCTTTTCTGAAAGACAGTTCTAGAATTTGACGGCCCCAGATGCCGCACCTCAGGTTTATTCTCACCATGGAATGTCTTGATTACAGCAGAGCAAAGATCTGCCAATAAGTTAAAGAAAGTTTGAGGAGGAAAAATAAGCATCAACTTCCAGGGATCGAATAGCTTCCCACTTTAAAGCAACGGGACTTGCCTGACGGTAGATGGACTTTTCATTTTAAAACTTTGCCTTTAGTAGTCAACACTGTCCTAGGCATCCAGATAGACTACGTGACACAAGGCATTTGAGTATCAAAACGTCACATGTAGAAATAAAATGTTAAACATCAAGGTGTGGAACAATTATCTGAGTTTTAAAATTATCATTTTATTTATTTATTTTGTTTTATTTTTCCAAGACAGAGTCTCGCTCTGTCACCCGCTGTGTGCTCACCTCCATGTAGCACTGTGATGCTCTCTTTGGCAGAACTCTAGCCGGGCTTCTCTGAGCCCTCTGCTCCACTAGGCCTTAACCTTGCCCTATAAAAACCACTTACTCTCAGCACACACGATTCCAGCCACCCTGCCCTCCCCATGTTAAAAGACTTGAACAAACAGGACAGTGTCTAACAGCTCCGGGTGGCCTCCTGGGATGAGCAGGACGAGGAGCCCCTGCCCCGGGAGACACGGCTGAAGGTGAGGGACGCCAGCCCCAGGGCCCCGCACAGGATGTGCACTGCACAAGGCCCATTCCTGGCCAGACGTTGCTACACTATGTGAGAGCTAGGGGAGGAAGGGGTGGGGAGCTGGAGCTCTCATCCAAGTCCTAGGGCAGCAGGAAGCCCCCTCTGATATACCCCCACTGGACACACATGTGCCCACCAACATACACGCACACACTACCGCTTTGTCCTGGCTGTGCTCTGGGGGTCCCCGAGCTTGCTTCTCTCCCTGCCCACAACCTATGGCCGATGCCACCCCTGCCTGGTTCAGGGTGAGGGTGGGAGAGCAATGCGGAGGGTTGTAGGAGCCAGCGTGGGGCGTGCTGGGCTCCAGGGAGCAGATGAGTGTAAAACGTAAGCACACGTGGCAGCCACGTCCGCTGCCCTGGGATCTGGAAAGCCCGTCCATGGCAGCCCATGCTGTCCGCAGCACACTTACCCAAACAGCTTCCTTGAGGAATGGGCACGTTTTTAAACTTGCACAGTGGTGTCCAAAGGGCTGCTAAAGCCTAAGGAAAAAAGAAACTACACGTAAGATCTAACGCTTGGCTTCATTTATAGGCTTGACTGATACAAAGCACACTTGCCATGTAGCACATTTGCAAATGCATTGTTCAAATTGTGCTGGAAAAGAAAAGATAAAAGTTTTTCAAAAGCACAAACCACGATTATAAACTACAATCAACAGTGGCCAGACTGACAAGGGGCCATTGAGGACGGAGCCACAGTGCAGATGGCAACACCGTCCTTAGACCGCACACGTGGGGTTCAGTGATTTCAGTGTGTGCAGAAGCCCATTTCTCTTCCCTACTGACGCAGACAGGACGAAACATGCAATTGCCATATTTCCTTTGTAACGTGTTCATTTCTATCAAGAAGGGAAAAGGGTCAAATGGTTATTTAAAAATAAACAAATCTCTCTCTCTCTCTTCATTGGTTGAGCAAGTGGCTTCTTTCCCAAATCTGTATTGTTATAAACAATATGTGAACTCTAGAGAATAATTAAATTATGAAGCCATGGAAAGGCATGGAGGAAACTTAATTGCATATTACTAAGTGAAAGAGGCAATCTTAAAGGGCTACCTACTCTTGATTCCAACTCTGTGATATTCTGGAAAAGGCAAATCTATGGAGGCAAAAAGACTGCCAGGGGTTGGGGGTAGGGGGCTGACTAGTCAGGGAACAGAGGGTGTTTAGGCAGTGGAAACACTCTGTATGATACTGCGATGGTGGGTACATGTCATTATACATGTGTCAAAACCCATAGAATGGACGACACCAAGGGTGAGCCCTAATGTCAACTCTGGACTAGGGGTGACAATAAAGCATCGACGTAGGTTCATCAATTATAGCAAATGCAGCACTGTCCTGGGGGGATGTTGATAACGGGGGTAGCTATGCACTGGAAGGAACAAGGGATAGATGAGAACCCTCATTACTTTCTGCTCAATTTTGCTGTGAACCTAAAAAACAAAGTCTATTTATAAAAAAAAAAAAAAAAACATCTTGGGAGAGTTTTAGTGCTCACTCTAGAGAAGGGTAGTATTCTATGCATCAAGTTAAATGTCCTTGAATTTTTAAATCTTCAACAAATAAAAGACTCCCAGTAGAAGGCTAACTTCTATGTCTTACATACTAGGAGCAAACTTTAACACTGTTAGTTCATCAAGTCCATTCTTAGGGTCATTGAATCAGTTATAAGTGGCTCATTTACTCTTAAGAAAACTATTTCCATCTATTTTGGAAAAATAGATGGAAAAATGGATGGCTGTAGATGACATACAGCCAATGTTAGATCTGGCCCTTCTTCATGTGAAGTTTTATTCATTACTAACCGCAGTGTTCTGGATGTCTGTGCAGGCAGAGGCTGTAGTTCATCATACCTCTCAGTTCACGGCACCACTTGTCTCTGCGACGTCCCCTCATCTCATGCTTCATTCCCTTCATCCCATTCCCCTCTCATTCTCCTGCTACTGTTCCCTCAAAGGCAACCATATTCCCCCTGCATGTGTTCTTATAAAATGGGAGGTATTATTGTAAGTTCAGGTGTTTGGATTTATACCAGCTCTCATCCTGCCTTTTACTTTTTTCACTCAGTGGTAATGTTTTCAAGATCCATTTGGGCTGCTACGTACCCGTCATCTAGAGCTCCTATCTGCTGCATAGGATTCTCTCATGGGAGCCCACCACGATCACCTCCCCATTCCCTGGGAGCCGGACTCCCTGACTGTCTCCAAGCCCCACTTTCATATCACATGTTCCTTTCATGGGCCCGTGATTGTATTTTCCTGGAAAACATTGTCAGAGGTAGCATCACTGGGTCATAGCAGAAACACATTAATTAAGCTAGGTATGGTGGAATGATCTGCTTTTCAAATTGACATACGGATTTTTCATTCAGTTGACCCAGAAATTGAAATTGACTTTTCGTTGTTTCTTTCTATCACCCTATTTCAAGATAGAAATCAGTCATGTTTATGCCTCCCCTAATATACACAGCATTCCCACTGTTAGATATTGAATTCAATTTTGTTTTGAATCTAAAGACAGCATTTGCTATTGATTTGCATCAGAGTTAGCATTTTTCTTTTAACATGATTTTTTAAAAGATGATGATGAATAAAATTCTAGGGAGTGTGCATTTTGGCTAATTTGAAAATAAAATTTACTTCCATGTTACTATATTCCAAGCTAAATATAGATTTTTTTTTCACCCTCAGATATGCCAGGGTTGTGCCAGGTTTGGGGAGATACAAAGGAAGGAAATGTATTCAAGAGGACACCTCTGACGTTGACTTTTTTAGAATTATATATGAGACCACAGTGTTTTCCCTAGGAATGAACCAAAATGTAGACACCGCTATTCCATGCTGAAAGTCTATCCTAGCAAAGCTAACGACAGAACCAAGTTAGGAGGCTGGACGGTGGCCGTGTTACATAACAAGCTGGTGAGAAAAACCTCTAACATTGTTTCTATCAATGAGAAACATTGTTTCTATCAACTGAGACTATTTCAGACCATCCTTATTTTATAAAACACTAGAATGTACATGCCAGGAGGCAAAGGGGCTTAATAATTTTTAAATGTTTTTGTTTTAAAATATTACGAGGGCGCAAATGTTTTTGGTTATATGGGTTGCTTTTATAATGCTTGAGTCAGGGTTATAAGTGTGCCCATTACCCAGATAGTGTTCACTGTACCCATTAGGTAAGTTTTCACCCATGCCCTCCTCCCCATTCCCCCCTGGTTGATTTCCATTGAGTTTTACTTCCCTCTATGTACATGTGTGTTCATAAGTTGGTTCCAATTTAATAGGGAGTAACATGTGGTGCTTGTTTTTCCACTCTTTAGATATTTCACTTAGGATAATGGTTTCCAGTTCCATCCAAATTGTTGCAAAAGGCATTAAGTCATCCTTCTTCATGACTGAGTAGTATTCCATGGTATACATAAAATACATCTTTTAATCCACTCATGAATTGATGGGCATTTGGGTTGATTCCACATCTTTGCAATTGTGAATTGTGCTGTGATAAACATTTGAATGCAGGTGTCTTTTTGATAAAATGACTTCTTTTCCTTTGAGTAAATACCCAGTAGTAGGATTGCTGGGTCAAATGGTAGGTAGACTTTTAGTTCTTTGAGGAATCTCCATACTGTTTTCCATAGAGGTTGTACTAATTTGCAGTCCTACCAAAAGTGTATAAATGTCCCTTTCTCTCCACATCCACTCCAACATTTATTGTGTTTGGACTTTTTAATGAAGGCCATTCTGACTATGGTAAGGTGAGATCTCCCTGTGGTTTTAATTTGCATTTCCCTGATGAATAGTGACATTGAGCATTTTTTCATGTGTTTATTGGCCATGTGTCTATCTTCTCAAGGAACTAGAAAAGGAAGAGCAAACCAAGTCCAAAGCCAGCAGAAAAAAAGAAATAACTAAGAGCAGATCTAAACGAAATAGAAAACAAGAAAATATACAGATCAATGAACAAAAACTTGGTTCTTTAAAAAGATAAATAAAATTGACCACTTGTAAGGCTAACCATGAATAAAAGGGAAAGAACTCCAATAGGATCAATTAGAAATGAAAAAGGAGATATCATAACTGTTACCACAGAAATACAAAATATCATGTGTGGAATACTATGAAAATATTTATGCACACAAACTCAAAAACATAGAGGAAATGGACAAATTTCTGGAAATACACAACCTCCCAAGACTCAGTCAGGAAGAAATAGCACTCCTGAACAGACCAATAATGAGCACTGAGATTGAAGCTGCAATAAAAACTCTTCCAACAACAAAAAAAGCGCCAGACCAGATGGATTCACAGTCGAATTTTACCAGACCTACAAAGAAGAGTTGGTACTCATTCTGCAGAAATTATTCCATAGCACTGTGAAGGAGGGAATCCTCCTTAACTCATTATATGAAGCCAGTGTCAATCACCTTGTTACCTAAGTCAGAAAAGGACACAAGAAAAAAAGAAAGCTACAGACCAACATACTTATGAATTTAGATGCAAAAATCCTCAATAAAATAGAAGCAAACCGAATTCAATAGCATATCAAAAAAAAAGAATATCCACCATGACCAAATGGGCTTCATCCCAGGGATGCAAGGATGGTTCAACATACATAAATCAATAAATGTGATTCACCACATAAACAGAAACAAAAACAAAGATCCTATGATTATCTCAACTGATGCAGAAAAAGCATTCAGCAAAATTCAGCACCCTTACATGATAAAAAACTCTCAAAAAACTAGGCATTAAAGGAAGATATCTCAAAATAATAAAAACCATATATAACAAACCTACAACCAGCATCATACTGAGTGGGGAAAAGTTGAACACATTCTCACTAAGAACTAGAACAAGACAAGGATGCCCACTGTCACCACTTCTACTCAACATAGAGCTGGAAGTTCTAGCCAGAGCAATCAGGCAAGAGAAAGAAATTAAGGGTATTCAAGTGGGGAAAGCAGAGGTCAAACTATTGTTTTTTGCAGATGTTATGATCTTATACCTAGAAAATCCCAAAGATTCCACCAAGAGATTGCTGGAATTGGTAAATAAATTCAGAAAAGTCTCAAGTTATAAAATCAATGTACACAAATCAGTAGCATTCACACACCAATTACAGTGAAGCTGAGAATCAAATCAAAGACTCAATACCACTGACAACTGCTACAAAGAAAATAAAATACCTAAAAATATCCTTAACCAAGGAGGTGAAAGATCTCTACAAAGAGAACTACAAACACTGAGGGAAGAAATTACCAATGATACAAACAAGTGGAAAAACATATTGTGCTCATGGATTGGAAGAATCAACATTGTTAAAATGTCCATATTACCCAAAGTGATTTATAGATTCAATGCAATCCCCATCAAAATACCAACATCATATTTGACAGACGTAGAAAAAATAATTATTATTTCATGTGGAACCAGAATAGAGCTCAAATAGCCAAAGCAATCTTAAGCAAAAGGAATAAACCAGGAGGCATCACATTACCAGATTTCAAACTATACTACAAGGCTATAGCAACTAAATCAGCAGGGGATGGCACAAAAATAGAGACATAGACCAATGGAACAGAACACTACACCCAGATATAAAACCATCCACTTACAGCCATCTGATCTTTGACAAAACAGACAACAATATATATTAGGGAAAATAGTTCCTAGTCAACAAATAGTACTGGGAAAATTGGATAGCCACATGCAGAAGAATGAAGCAAGATCTATATCTCTCACTACTTATAAAAATTAATTAAAGATGGATAAAGGACTTAAATGTAAGGCATGAAACCATAAGAATTCTAGAAGAAAATGTTGAAAAAACTCTTCTACATATTGGCCTAGGCAAAGAATTTATGAAGAAGACCCCAATGGCAATCACAGCAACAACAAAAATAAATAAATAGGACTTGATTAAATTAAGAAGCTTCTGCACAGCCAAGGAAATAATTAACAGAGCAATAGACAACCTACAGAATGGGAAAAAATATTCCCACGCTATACATCTACTAAAGGACTAATAACCAGAATCTACAAAGAACTCAAGCAAATCAGCAAGAAAAAAATCAAACTGTCCCATTAAAAAGTAGGCAAAAGACATGAACAGAAGCCTTTCAAATTATTTTTTAAATATTTTTTTTTTTTTTTTGAGACAGAGTCTTGCTTGTTGCCCCGGCTAGAGTGAGTGCCGTGGCGTCAGCCTAGCTCACAGCAACCTCAAACTCCTGGGCTCAAGCAATCCCTCTGCCTCAGCCTCCCGAGTAGCTGGGACTACAGGCATGCGCCACCATGCCCGGCTAATTTTATATATATATACATTAGTTGGCCAATTAATTTCTTTCTATTTATAGTAGAAACGGGGTCTTGCTCTTGCTCAGGCTGGTTTTGAACTCCTGACCTCGAGCAATCCGCCCGCCTCAGCTTCCCAGAGTGCTAGGATTACAGGCGTGAGCCACCGCGCCCGGCTTAAATATTTTTATATATTTTAATTAAAATTAATTATTTTAATTAAAAATATTTTAAATATTTGTAAAGCTTTTTAAATTATTTTTACCATTTCAAAAGAATTTTTACAGACTTGACATACCACTGCAAGAGTTAAAATTTTCTAGGAGACAAACATAACCTCCCATGATCTCCCAGCTTCTCTAATTTGCATTCAGAGGTGGCAGGCAGATTTCCAACCCATCTCTGGATAGAGACCACATGGAAGGCAGCCAGATCAATAGGAGCAAACAAAGCTCTCAGCTCCCAACTTCCTGAGGGCAACTCCCTTTGAAAAACCCTGGGGTGGGGGTGGGGGTGGGGGTGGGAATGAGGGTGGTGCTGGCCAGGGGTCATCTGGATAAGCTCTGTGTGTTGGGAGGAATTCCCATGTAAGGCAAATTCCTCCCATCACACAGAACTTAATGATGATCTAAAGATGATAGCACTGGAAAATCTTTTAGCCAGAGATGCTTAGCTCAACATTTAATGTTATTACATAATTTATTTTTACTTGCATCTGTGTGTTTCTATGAAACCCAAAGAGATAATGTGAGTTGGCCAAAGGCACATCAGACTAAGCAGCTTAGCTTGGATTTAAAAAAAAAAAAAAAAGCTAATCCTCCCCAAGCTAGAAATTCTTTGCTTCAAATCCTCATTAGGAAGGCTGCCTTTTATATGGGGACCATATAGTGAGTCACAGAATATGAGTGGAAAGAGACTTTAGAGGCCAAGGAGTTTCATCTTCTTCCCTCTCTCTCTTACACACACACCCATTTAACCACACCTCAAGAAGGATGACTTTTCTCTGGTGACTAGTAAATTATGTTCATCGCATTATGTGAGGACCTCTTAAAACTCATACATACTGAAAATGTCCAAATCTTATGATCTATTTCTGATAATTTGCCCAAGAGAAAAATAATTCAAAAGAAAGAAAGCTAGGAAGGCAGTCTGAAAAAACAGTTGCTTCTAATAATTTGCCTTTCTAGATAATGCAAATATTGGAAAAAGAAACCTAAATGTCAAACGGTAATGGCAAAATAATATTACTATGGGATATTACATAGCTATAAAAGATAACTAGGAAACTATGTGGAAATTTTTTTATTGGTCAAATTATAAAACATTAAAAATGTATAAATATAGTCCTAATGCTGGTGAAGATAGAATTAAAAGTATTACCAAACATGGACATTAAGGGTATAAGTTAGAGCAGGATTTCTGAAATATAGTTGATAATATGGAATAAAACCCTTTAAATTTATTTAGACCATTTACCACAATAATTTCACCTCTAGAAATTTATACTAAGGAAATAATCTGAAACTAGATAATTTATACAGAGATTGTTAGCACACCATTATTTATAATAGTGAAACATTAGAAATGACCATATGTTTAACATTAAGGAAATGATTAAATTATGGTATCTCCATAGAGAAAAATGTTACACAGAAAATATATAGAGATAAATATCTATATAGGCATATGCCATTTCATTGTGCTTTGCGAATACTGCATTTTTTACAAATTGAAGGTTTGTGGTAACCCTGCATTGATCAAGTCTACCAGTACCATTTTTCTGACAACATGTATTGATTTGGTG